CATTTGATTAGATCTCGTTTCAATTGTAGGTGTGTAGGCTTTGGAAATAAAATGCTCCGGACTAATTTTCCTTTTGTTGTAAAAAATCCTAATGTAATAAATTAAAAAATTAAATGAATTATTAAAGTATTACATTGTATTCATAAGATTGTATTATATTTAACATTTATAAACTTAAAACCTACCTGTCCTGACGACTATAGCCTTAACATAGTTGTGATCACCGGACAGTACGTTCAACACCCGGGTGCCGGCATATAACGTGTTAATACTATGCGTTTTCGGTAAATATAGGGTGTTTTGGTCGTCAGTGAGCGCCACCTTAGATATGGGAACGGATTCGCCGGTCAGAGAGCTTTCGTCCACAATACAGGTGCCGCTCATTAGGACGGCGTCGCACTCCATGGCCAGCCGATGGTTATCGGCCGATAGGGTGATCACATCGCCCGGTACTAAATGCCTGGATGCTAACTTGACCACGTGCTCGTCCCGGATAACACTTATCTCGGACTCCGAGTGCACTTTGTTATACAATGCCGTTAATTGCTAGATAATAATTTGAGGTTTTATTTTAGGCAGCATTAATTATTTTAATATTATTTTTAATTATTATTTGTGACCTTAGATCAAATAACAGGTGTAATAAACTATTATATAAAAGTGCTAAATGTTCCTAGTATCTAAATGTTGGTATTTTATTTTAGACAAGGTTAGAAAATATTAAAAATTAAAATTATATTTACTGTATGATTTTTAACATAATAATAAAATGTTTTTGAAATGCTTTATATCTGTCACTCATTGGGCTATTTTTAGAAAATAATAAAAATATAATTTTATATTTAATACCTTTCGTGTTTGCCAGACATGTAAAGAGACCTGGTTATAAATGTATAAAGTTTTTAGTTTTTAGGCAGAGATAATAACATGAAAATTTGTTGTTTACCGAAAACATGGATAAAATGAGAACACATATCGAGAATTGATAGTATAATTGGATCATCCAGATAGTAAATATGAACATTTGGTAGATATAAAAAGGTTCTGTGATCTAAAATAAAAAATTATTAGTCTATTGATTGTTTACCAAGATATTTATAGTATTAGGATCGCATACTTCGTCTATAATTAATCTCCAAATTGGCTTAATTTCGACTAAAACTGTATTCAAACCATACAATTGCGAGCGAAGTAGCGCCTCGTTTGTAGTCAAGCCCTCAATCATTGAATAAATTACTCCACATTTGTATGACTCTAAACCTCTAATCAAAAAAACGGTTTTAATTAATTTAGATTTAGTAAATCAAAATATCATACTGATAATAAATATTAAATAAATTATAGTTATACTAATTACTAATATAGTATAATACTTATTGTAATTATACATTGTATATATTGTGTATTTTTGTTTTTTAATAAAAATAATTCTTAATAATAAAATACATTATCTAAATATAATTAAACTGGAACAATTATTGTGAATAAAAGTTTGATTTTCATATTTGCTACACATTATAGCAGATTAGATGAACCTGGTAAACACGGGTTAATAATCTAGGTATTGACAACAGACTCACTTGAGTTTCATGAATTGATTCATCTCTGCCCTCCAAATGTATTTAATTTTTTGGTGAAAAAAGTGAACACAATTCCCGGTGTTTGTGAGTCCGGGAACCGCTTTCACCACATTCTCCACGTACTCCCTATCGAAACAATCCTTTCATTTCATAAACAATTTAATTTGAATATTATTAATATTTTTAAGCGTTAATTGAGTTATGAATACTTTTATGATAACGGCGCTGGCCTGGTCTAGCGAGCACTTGGAATGGGTAATCCTGACCCGCCTGGGTGATTTCCAACCAATCACAATTAAAATAAAACCACATGTTATGATGACCACGATTATGAACAATATGAATCGTAAATGGGACCTCATATAACTAGAATATTTTTAAAATAAATATAAATATTTAGTTAATGAAAAGTTTTGGAAACTTTGTGAATGAGTCTACAGTATAGGTGTATACAGTAATTAATATATACATATGTTATTATTTTTAATAATAAAATTTTTAGCACAAATAGTAATTCAAATTATTGTCTGTATGGGTAGTTAATACTCCACTAGCAGTAGCCGCCACAATTAGGCAAGTATTTAGAGAAACCTAATCATTTTTTATGAGACGATTAATAAAATACTGATTGCTTTTCTATTTAATCATAATTTTTAGGTAAGTTTCTATTTATTGTATTTTAAAACGTGTTAATGTCTTTACAAACTTAATTAATAAGCATTACATAAATAGCCGGAAATGCTTGCGTTAATTGTCATTGTATTTAGTCATCAAAACGGTTACTAAAGTTATGATAGTTTTTATGGATTTTATGTACACAACAAAAATGTCTTCAGTCGTGATTCAAAACATTTTTATCTCAATTTGTGATTGTGATTGGAATTCATTGATAAACTATTATCCTGAACTTTGAGTTATTTCTTTGCCTCAACGATAATTATTTTGTTTCTTACGTTTTGAGAGAAAGAGAGAGAGAGAGAGAGAGAGAGAGAGTTTAAATTTTTTAAAATATTTAAAAAACTAATTTAAATTTTAAATTTTTATTTTATTTTTAATTAAATACAGTAGTATATTAAATATATTATATTCCATTAGTTATTAAAAGTACAATAATACATTAGGAACTGTAATATTGTTTATTAGTAATTTATTTTATATTTTAATACAAAAAATTATTATTACTATTGGTCTCTACAGTACATCTGGCCTGATTTATTGAGATTAAAACGTCGTTTTGGTTTTCAACAGACATAGAAACGTTTGTTTTTACACGATTTTATTTGTAAAACGGTTTTTATGGTTAATTAAATACAATTCACAAGTCATGAATAACGTATATGACAGCAGACAGACAGTATTGAAACGTTAAATACCAAACACCCATAAATACATTATACAACTTGAATATAATTAGAAAAAAATAAAATTTTATCGTATATTAGCCAAAAAATACTTTTGTAAAGTGTTTTGTTAAAATCAAAACTTTTATTTTCGTATTAACATTATAAACTGCTCAACCATATGGGGATTGGTGTGTAATTTTCCCACAAAACAAAATGTTTATAAAAATATTTTGTAAGTTATATATTGCCATAAAAGTCATGGTTTCATAAATATTGTGTATATTTTGTAGTAAAATGTACTGTACTTGTTAATACAGTATTACATTGTAACTATTGAATACTTACTACAGTATCTAATAAGTTGCAGTGCTATTTGTTATCAAATGTGTTTTAATAACTTAAGCAAAAAACTAGATTTATTAAAAGGATATAAAAATATATGTTTTATTAGTGTTTCATAGATTATGTGTATATAAGGGAAAGTATGTCTAAAAACTGCTCATACTATGTATGTATACGTGAACAAAATGCTATATTTATACAGAATATTGATATAAATGTGCGATAAGAGTGTCGATCGCTTAGGAAAATATGTCTGACTTTTAATATACAGCAATAAAGTTATGAAATATGTGTTACGTACTGAGGTTTAAAAAATTAATTTTTGTGAGTGTTTCGTGAGTAAAATATATTTGTTTTTAATTTTTTTTGTGCCAAAACAATGGATGAGATAATAAACACTGACGATACGAATGAGGATAACTTCGATCTGATAATAGCCAGCTATGAGTCGATTATGAAAACCTATTTTAACTACTATTTAACGAATCAAATCAAAGTGGAGTCAGACCTACGGTATTGGCATAAGAAAAATGTTGAGCTATCCCTACGCCAGTACTCGGACTGGTATGACGGCAGCCGTAAGCCCGGGTATCGCCAGGAGCTCCAGAATCGGTTGAACACAGAATTTGAACAATTCGTCGAGTATTCAATTCACTACAAAAAATGTTTAATGAGTTTTGTCACCGAGTTTGTGAAGTTTTTGCACGATGATGGCGATTATGGGGAACGGGATGCGTTTAGGCACAAGTGTACCCAGCTCATACCCGAGATTTTTGTACAGTTTGACACGAATGGCATACCCGGGNCAAAACAATGGATGAGATAATAAACACTGACGATACGAATGAGGATAACTTCGATCTGATAATAGCCAGCTATGAGTCGATTATGAAAACCTATTTTAACTATTATTTGACGAATCAAATTAAAGTGGAGTCAGACCTACGGTATTGGCATAAGAAAAATGTTGAGCTATCCCTACGCCAGTACTCGGACTGGTATGACGGCAGCCGTAAGCCCGGGTATCGCCAGGAGCTCCAGAATCGGTTGAACACAGAATTTGAACAATTCGTCGAGTATTCAATTCACTACAAAAAATGTTTAATGAGTTTTGTCACCGAGTTTGTGAAGTTTTTGCACGATGATGGCGATTATGGGGAACGGGATGCGTTTAGGCACAAGTGTACCCAGCTCATACCCGAGATTTTTGTACAGTTTGACACGAATGGCATACCCGGGTTCGATAGGAACTGTAAGATATTTGATGTGGACTTCCGTCAGATTCTGATTCAACACATCGAGCAACACATCCGAGTGTTTGAACAGAATTTACAGAATTTAAGCGATTCTGTCACTAAGTATGAGGTGTTTTTGCACCGGGAGTTTCGAGGGAGACCGTGGCTACCGGTGCTGCTTAACGCTAGTAATGAGTTGATAGACAGCGATAATGTAGTCTATGAGCGACTGTATCACGAGCTCCGGGATCTGTGCCAACAGTCAGCCCATAAGTTTAAGGACTCGTTTGAAGTGAAACTTAATGTCGAGACTATGAAAGTGTTTAATGAAAACTACCGTTCCCTTAAGCGTAGGGAAAATTTGGTGGCCGGTATGGCACTGGCAATAGGAGCTACCGGTGCTTTATTTACCAGAAATAATACAGTGGCCCAGAGTATTGTGTATGGGTCAGGTGTTTTAGCTGCCGGTGCTCTAGGTTATTTTATTATTAGAAACGCTATTATGCCCCGTAGTGTACGTACGCTAATCCATGGGCCAGACCTACCGGTGACGACAGAGCCTTTAGAAACAAATAGATTAAAGTTTTTGCATTATTTTTAGGATTTATATGTTTTACAGTAATTTTTAAAATTAATTTATCATTAGCATGGGCACTTATGTTTTAATATACAAAAATTATTAATTTATAAATATAATACAATAAATGGTACAAAATAATTAAATTGTAAAAATAAAAGTTAATATAATTTAAGCAAAACAAAAAATTATTAAACTTTATGTTATGATAAATATTAATATGGTTTTATTATATTTTTAAAATAAAATAATTCACACAAAAAAATTAATTATTTTTCAATTATATTAGTTTATATTTTTCATATACAGATAGTGAAACTATTATTAATCCAAATGTTAAATTAAAAATTACATATTAAAAAAACATTTAAGTATTTAAAAAGACTTTTTCCTGATCTTAATCATGTTACATAAATGTGTATTATATTGCATTTACAATGTTTATTATTATGGTTGTCAAATCTTATATTTTATAGACTAGAGCAAAAATGTCCAAAAATTTTAAAATAATCAAAATAGGTTTTTTAATAATATTTGTAAACTTATTAATTATTCAAAACATTATTATTTTATGATATAAAAGTGACTATGATTTGTATTGAAAACATAATTTTCATTTTAAATAATATGAATATTTATTAAACACAATAATATTCAAATGTTTAATATATTTTAAAACATACGTATAAAATATTTGAGTAATTAAGTAATAGGAATAAACGATTAATAAAGTAATATTCATGACTATTTAACTAAATGCTACTTTAATCTTTAATGTATCCAATAAACTTTGAAATACTAGTGTTGTTTGTACTAAAATATAAATAAATAATGAATCGCAATATAAGTTAAACAGTACTAGGATAAATGTGAAAATTTAAAAATTTAATTTAAATTTTAAAAATACAAAAATTGATAAAAATATAGTAAATAAGTTTACTGTATTGTGAATCATCAAATAATAAATATAATGTTCAAATTTTTTTTATTATTATAACTAGGAATAAATGGAATTACTGTATACATAATAATATTTTAGACTAAATTTTAAAAATAATACTAAAAATACAGTTTATTACTCGTGGAGCTGGTAATTGTCATACATTGACAACTTGTTATACCGCGGGGTAATCGATGACCAGTATAGGTTGCCTTTGAGCATGCATTTTATATCGGTGATATATTGACGTAGCAAGGGTATATTATGTAGTCTCAACATATCAGCATACTTAATGACCATGGTCCACGCCTCGGCAATCATTGTCACCGTTTTATCGGCTGCCGTTTGAGCATCACATTTGTCATTAGACATGATCACGTAGATCAGGTTGAATTTGCCCTGATGCTGCAAGGTCTCTTTTTTGCTCGAGTACAAATCATTCACGTAATAGGCGTGTCGCGCCGCCCACGTGTTGAACATGGTCCATGCTTCATCAGTGACAATTTCGGGATATTCATCAGGATCGAACTTGGAAGATCCGCACAGAAAAATTGGTATGATATCGTAGAGGCTGTCAATTATCCTGTTTGTTTTGTGAAAGTATATGCATCATCTATTAATTTATAATAATTTATTGCAGTTTAATATTATTTTTCATAGGATATTTTGTTGTAAGTTTCAAATAAACTATAAGTCATATTCGGGATTAATGTCAAGTGTATTATAATTTTTAATGTTTTTAAAATAATTTAAGAACAAATGCTAAATATTAGAATGCATATATTATTTATTTATTTAAACATTTTCTGTAATTTGTGTGTAAATTAATGTTAAGAAACTAATAAATTATTACATTTTATGCAACATTAATCATTATTTTGTTAATTGAAACTTTTAAGCAAATAATTTACTAAGTGGGGACATCGTGACCTGTCAGTAAATTGTGCAATTAGAATGGGTATCAAAACAAACTATATGTCCTTATAGACAAATTGAATTGATCAAAATCGGCGAATATCATGAACCAGTCCCTTTAATCCAGTTATAAACATATTGACATAGTGATTTTACACATAAAAATAACATAACTTGTATATATATGAATATATTTAGTACTTTTATATATGAATTTATGCGCAAAATATTTTCAGTAAACCTAGCGACGCTTTGTTTGTAATTTGACGGTTCATTGTCGTTAAGTGTTCATGAAGTGCCGCCCATAAAATAATGTTATTTTTATGTGCAAAATCACTATGTCAATATGGTTATAACTGGATTTAAGGGACTAGCTTATGATATTCGCCGATTTTGATCAATTCAATTTGTCGATAGGGACATATAATTTGTTTTAATACCCATTCTAATTGCACAATTTACTGGAAGGTCACGATGTTTCCAACTAAATATTTTTAAATTTTATTAATTTCATATGTTATTTCAGCACTATTTACACAGTTCAAATATAGTATATGTACACTATTAATATATTTTATATGAAACATAACATGCAGTAATAAGCCGTCTTATTTTAATATAAAATATTTCTATTATATAATTATAACTTAATCGACTAAAATTAAGATTTATGTTTTAAAATTAATATTAATGTTGTTATTTAATTTCAAAAATTTATACCTTATTGGTACAGTTTACATACTGGAATATTTAACACTTGGCTCATTGCAGCCTAAATTTTCCTATATATCATACCTGAGTGCATCGTACTCAGCCATTGTGTACATATGATCGCCAGTCTTAACCTTTTTTGTTTCAGCGTAGTAATCAAGATATTTAATGTACCAAGAATTGTGCATCCGAATCAATTTCTCCGAAAGTATCTTGTTCATTTGTGCGCACAATTTATTAAAAAATAAATCCAAAAAGTCGGTGCCAGACGAGTGGCCAACCGTTATGTTTTGTTTCCATTTTCTAGAAGTTAATTGTATTTTGTTTTTAATAGTAAAATAAAATATCCACCCAATTCATTGAATTAATGGACACATACCTCACCCAATACGCTTGTTGTGTAGTGTGACCATCCAGGAAATCATCCAGAAAGAAACCGAATAAGTTCCACATAACCACTCCCAATAAAGCATTATGGTCCTCCACGTTTGGATACGATAACAAAGTGAAATCTACTGCGTCCTTAACAAGCCTATTAAGTCCTTTTAAGTCGCCTTTTGAGTCGATGATCTGGGTTACCAGCTGTTCCTTAAGGTTTGGCACGTGTTTGTTATACACGACTCTTTCCACGTGTAGACCACGAATGTCGAAGTCCAGTATCTTGTCGTTTTGGTCATCGCGTTGATAAATGAGCATGTTGCTATTATTATCTCCCATTGTATGTGTGTGGCTGCTGTGATGCTCACTATCTATAAATTGTTATACAAATAAACGATATTAAACCTGAAACAAACTTTATAATGAATCATTTTTTAACTTTAAATAATAGAAAATATTTATTTTATAAAAGTTACACGGAAACGCGCTTGAAGTTATTTTGCAGACTGGACTTATAAGTAGATCAGCTACATTCACCTTATACTGCACTATGAACATATTATTCATTTTATTTTTAAAATTAGTGTGAAATAAACCGTATGAATTTAGCAACAAATTGTGTATTATTATGAGTTTATTAATACAACACTAATTTCAAATTAAATGACATCTATTTAGTTATCTATTTAAGTTTCATTTTAATAAATTAGGTTACTGAACTTAAAAATAATTTTTCTAATGTTATTTAATTGTATTCATTTAGATTAAGGTTGATTATTGTTATGTTAGGTATTAAAATTGCATACGGGTTAATAAACAACAATGGGTTCAATGGGAAATTATTATCACAGGATATCCAGGATATATTTTCTAAACAAAAAGAATTATAAAATTTACTAGTTTATTATTTTCATTTTTAATATTAATTTTGTTTAAAAAAGTTCAATGCTTTTACAAAAAATTGTTTTAATAAAATCCATATAATTTAAAACCAAATTTACAAAAAATTATATATTTAAATTTAATTAATTAATGTAAATTTTTATAATCATAATTCAAGTATAAGATATTATAAACATATACAGCCAGTACATTTAAAGGCTAATAATTATTTATATAATCGACAATTAAATAAATTATGTAATGAACTCTTATTTTATTGAAACTTATTATCAGAGACACGATTTGTAGGACTTTTCAGCTAAAATTAGAGGTTTCAACACACAAAAAAGATTTTACATTTTACATATGTCGCCAAGTTTAATTAATTTAAAGTGTTAATTATGTTACTGGTTAACTATTCATAGCAATCATAATTACTCAATTTACTCTCGTCCCTCGATATTTCCAACTTAGAAAAAATTTTACACAACGGAAAGTTGGCTATTCTAGCTTAAATTATATGAAACAGTAAATTAAATACAATTATGTTATTTATCATTTTCTTCAAATTTGATAACTTTTATTATTTATAAATTTTATTTATTAAATAAATTGTTTTAAATATTTTCAATTGATAGGATTTAATAATTAGTTAAACATGCCATCCACATAATGACTACCTTCTCGATTACGAGAGTATCTTAGACATTGAGTAGACCAGTATAAATTGCCCCGACACCCGTGCAACACTTCGTTGACATACCTGTCCAAAGATGGCACTTTATACTCATTAAGTCGTTGGGCGTAGTGAAGCACCAGTTCCCACAACTGGTGTACTTCGGCCACCGCCTTATCGACAGCCTGTTGGGCAGTATAGCCCTCGTTGGCCATCAACACATACTGATAGCTATACTCTCCTCCTCCATGTGCCACCTCCGAGGGCACGGAATAGATATCATTGATAACTATCGCGTATTTGGAGGCCGTCTTATTAAATGCCAACCACAGGGGGTCATCAGTCAAACCCCATTCAATAGCGTCAAACCCGACCGACAGTTCCGCCAATTGCCATATAATATCGCCGCCGTTATCCAGTTCTCTAAATCACAAAATACCAATAAACCCTGGATAAATAGGTAATAAAAGTAACATCCAGTTGATTTTAACCTAAGAATTTACACTGATTCAATATCTTATTTGTTAATACTCAAATTATAAACAATCCATATGTCCAATGTTGTTTCTGTTTTGTGTATTATTAAAAAACTACCTGAGCGTCCAGTATTCCTCGTGAGTCAACGGCCTGTCCTTATGTTTGGTCACATGCGAGCCAATCCAACCGACGCCAAACATGACGTGTCGAACGTACTGATCGGCGCTCATATGTACCCTCAATAGCGACAACGTCTTGACGAGCATCCGGTCCATCGGCGTGTCCTCATCACTGGTGCCCAACATATACTTCATTTGCCATTTGCTATATGTATTACAGGTTTATGTTTACGTATAAATAGGGAATATTTTTCGGGTTAATAAATCAATACGTAAAACAATAACATCAAATCTTTTGTTTAATCTTAAAATGCTCTAGCTCATGTATTAATTACTAACACTGCCCAAAATATTTTATTTTCTTTTAAATTATTTTTTTCTATCTTATATTTTTAATATATTAACTAATTTAGGTCAATGCCTACCTGAGTTCCACTTTATCATTGATGTGATCCAGGTGGTCATCGAAGGTAAAGCCAAAAATGCACCAGTAATTGATGGCATACCAGAGCTCCCTATTTGTTGTCGTAAAGCAATAACTCGGAAAACCCGTCATATCTATCCTATCTATCATGGGTCGACCGTATGCTTCCGTAAGTTGCTTATTGGACTCTTGTAGGGCCCACTCGTGGAGGGGGTTGCGTACCATAGGCTCAGGGTTTAAACCAATGATATATTGTGAGAGCTCTGTAACATCTGGTTTGCCCTCCGTTTGAACGGGCTGTTTATTTGTGTACTGTTTGGGTATGGTGTCGATGAAATGCAGCCAATTGGGTTCGCTGTTTGTGGCCAACATTGAAATTGTGTGCTCGAGTATATGGTGTATGGCTTCTGTTGGCAAATATTTTATAATTATAATTTTTATAAAGTGAATAAACTATATTATATGAGTCAAATGGGTTTAATACTAAATGTATAATACAGGATATCCAGTATAAAAATGTATTGAAAATATAAATGTCATAAAATGAACTTTTATATTTGTATTAAACCATGTCTAAAATAAAATTTTATAAAAAAGTTTAATTATTATTTTTAAAATTCAATAAGTTACATAAACAATAATTAGTTTTCATTTATAAAAGTGTATACTGTATAGCAGACCCAACCAAGGAGTCAAATTAGGAGTCAAATTCTTACACGTTTTTAATATCCTTCAAATGTTTGGCTCACAAATATAGTACACATTAGTGTGACTTAGAGATATAAAGTATTAACTGAAAATTATAAACTGTAATATTGAAATAAAGCATTTATTTTAGTGTTTATATGTTTAAAACATTGACTAAATGATAGAAATGTATCTGATTAGTTACAATTACAGTAGTTGATTTCGTAAATATTTTAAAACTAATACCGTACTATAATTCTATACTAAAAATCAATATAGAAATGTCTAGAAATTGCACATTTAGAGGTGACTGAATATACTAAAAATAGTAATGATATTTGTGTTTGTAGAAAACTTTTATCTACTTATAATCTATATCAAACAAATAAAATATGAGCCACATATTTTTTGTTTTTTTATTTTTTAGTTGTCACTGCTATATAGATTTTAATACACAGGTAGTGTAACTATTATTAATCCAATTATTAAATTAAAAATTACAGATTGCAAAATATACATTTAAGTTTCTATAGTACCATTAATTAAAAACACTAAATTGTTAACTAATAAAATTAATTAAAAATGAACTGTATATTAGTATGTGCGATTTTACTAATGTGGATTTATTGTAAGTCTTGCAAGTATCAATTAATTTTACCAATGTTAATTCATTTTAAAAATCTAAAATTACAAATACAATAATTGTATAAAAATTGTAAACAATTCAAATGTTTTTTCAATAAACTACCTGTGCTTCCATATCCGACATATCTCCAGAAACACTAGAAAAAGTGCACAAATTGAAAACGGAAGTGTCCCCGATCATTAAAAAGTTAAAGGACAAAAATCGTACGAAACAAATTAAGACGTTGGAGAAATTGGATAAAAGTTTACAAAACGCTGTAACCAATTATGAAAAGGCTATTAAATCGGATTTGAATAAAAAACTGAGAGTAATTGGCGTTTGGAAACGAGATATTGAAAACTTTGTATTTGATTTGCAGGCTCAAATTAAGAGTATGCAAAAATTGTTGAGCTAATTATGTGAATGTAAATTAAAAATGAGGAATAAATAATTATATTTATAAAAATAATGTTAAATATTTATTTATTACGCATTACCGTTACATATATTACATTTTTAAAGTTAGTGAAAAATATATAATTGTATTATTTATTATTATGAATTATTAATTCAATTTCATTAATTGAATACTTGGTCATAATATTGTTGTTATAAATGTCGGCATTTTTCCTACGATTATGTTGTTTACGAAAAGTGTCCAAAAGATTAATAACCGGAAAGTCGATGATTATGTACAACACATATGAGATGATTATAGCTGCAGTCATATCCAGGTAAAAATTTTGAATCTGTGATATAATGTATTAAAAATAAATTCAATTAGTATTGTATTTTAAATTTTAATTAAATGTATTTTGAATGATGTACGGTTATAAATATATTTTGTTATAAAATTTAACAATGTTAATTCATACCTGGTTAGTATGGTTGACTGCGATATTATCCCTGCGACTAAAAGCACGATAATTAGCCATAATATCCACGTTTATATATATGCCTAAAGCGAGCCGGCTAATTGCACCAAATATTCGCGATGCCAGTAGCTTGTTAATAAAACCTAAAAATAAATTGATTTATCATATTTAAATTAATGATTAGCATATTACAAATGTATAATATATTTTATTAAATACACAACCTTTAGGTTTGGTGTAAACCACAATAATAAGCCATATATTGCCGACACACCACAAAATCTTCCCGCAACTAAACCAAAGCATAAGATTCACGGGATTCGGTCTAATGTTAATATCCTTGAAGTTTTCACTCCACGCTAAACTTAAAAAACTTAACACGGTAGTTATTATTGTCAAGGTAACAACTCGAAATTTATTAGCCACCAAACGGTTAATAAGTTTCGACCTTTGACGCAATAAGTAGCCAACGATTACGCCCAACACGAATACAGATATAAATTGATCAGTGTAACCAATGACTCGTACAAATGAACGATGTATGGTGGTGAAATCGCTTAAATAATCCAGTTCAAACGGGACAATTTTAAAGTTAGAATATATCCTGGGAGCTATTACCAGGAATACTGAAATTGTGAAAATGATCCAGTTTAATATGAGTCCAATTTTCGGCCAACGTTTCATTAATATCATAAATAGTGGGCATATTATTTGAAGTTGAAATATCACGTATAATATAAAGCTCGATGATATGCACTAGTCAAAATTTAAAAACATAATTGTAATTAGAAAATTTAGTTAATAAGTTATATCATCATAAATAAAACGAGTGATACATTCAAATGATTATTATTATAATTATTATGATTATTATTACATTAGTGATAAGTTATTTATATAATAAACAGTACTAGTTGAGCATTTTAATTATAACATTATAATAATTGTACGATAATATATTGGTATTTTTAGATTTTAGTTATTTATTATGACTTACCGTATGCCTCGTTTCGGGACTAAAATTGTCAATGAACAATATGTTTTTCCAATATCTGCCACGACAGTCATTTTTATTTGCGTAATCATTAAAATACGGCCCTGTTCCTATTAGCTCGACCATCACGCTGATAATAATAGGTCCCAAAATTTTTGGTAAAAATCTAAAATACTTTTCCACAACAAATTTAATATACGATTGAAATGTTTGCTTGCGCACTTTTGGACCAAAATAGTCATAGGATATAATAATCCCGCTAAATATAGATAGTTAAATTAAATTAA